CTCCCTCTCGACTTTGTTTTTCTGTCTCACAAAAACCCATACAGCTTCACATACACGCACACACATGGGTTCTTCAAATAGTTAGAAGGTATGATTCTAATGCATAATACTCTATTGGGTCATTCACTTTTTGCTCTAATTCTAGCTTTTCATTAATGGGTTCCATCAATTTTTTTGAAGGACCACTTTGAAGTTGTAAAACAGTTTTTGATTGGGCAAGCTCAAAACCCACAATTTTCACTCCATTCCTATCGTCTTCGCTGCATAGTCCAATTCCTTGAAAGGTAATTAGCTTTTTTTCCCCTGAAATTTTCCTTAATTGTTACTTTACAGTGCTTCTGAAATTTGCCCTAATTTTATAGCTTTAGTCAGTTTTTTTGTGGGTTTCTTGAAATTTGATCACCTGTGGATGACACTCATTTCATTTTTATGAAATAAAGAGAAATTGGGAAATCAAAATTTAGTGGTAGTTTTACAAAATAATTACAGATTCATGGAAGTGTTTAAGACTTTAATTATTAATGTTTATAAATTTTCCACTAATCAGATCTTTTTTTTTAAACGTACTTTGTATTCATATTTTCCGTAGAAAAATTGTGGTTTGTACTTTCATTTAAATGCTGTCATAAAGGACTTAATTGTAGTTTAATAGCGTGCCATGGCTTCAAATTCATAAATATTAATGCATACTGGTAACGTTTTAAAAGGAGATAACAGTCTATGATCAGTGAAAGTAGTTCATAAAGATCACATATTATCCAGGAATGAAGATTAATGTTATGGTATCCTTGAAATAACAATCTATAACTAGTCAAAGTTTGGGGAATAACTTGACTTGAGAATGTCATTGTGTAGTGTTTGCCATATAGAGGGTAAGATGAATTATTGTTGACGTTGGAAGAAAACATTTCCATGTGAAACCCTTGGCAAATAACAAGCTTAAACGTTTTTGCTGTTATGATAAACACACGGGATGTATCATTATTTGTGAATTTGATGTGAAATCTACCAGGCATTTATGTATCATTATTTGTTCTGGCCGGTTGTTGAACGAGAAGAGGACATATTGTGGTCACTTTATTTCATTCATTGTAGTTGTTAAACCAATTGGTTGAGAATGTTTCAGTACTTATTGTGGTCACTTATTAACTTTTTTTTTTGTGCAAAGTTTATTTTCTAGTGCTTATTCTCTTCCAATGCAGTTCACGTTTGAACATTTTGATGACTTAACTTTAATTATATGTAGGCGTTTAGAAGCAATGAAAAACAAACACAAAAAGGCGAAGACAGAAGAGAATGAGGACTTTCTTGGATGTGAAAAGATCAAATTTCAGGTCGGTACTCTAACTGGGGCAGAGGCATCAATAGGTTTAGTACCGCTGTTGCCTTTGAGGAACCAATCACACCACCTGTTCAAATAGATTATACCCAGCTTCTCATCAATGGGCAATTCGTGGATTCAGCATCACGTGTGTTATCATCCTTTGATTCAAAAAACTAAGTAGATATTTCGGTTATGAACCTTTTACAATATATTGTAGGCCTTCAAGTTTCTATCTTGATGTTCCTTCAATTCAAGAATGTGTAGTGAAACTAAATTTTTGCAAATTGTATGACTATAGGGAAAAAATTTCCAACCCTGGATCCCAGGACAGGAGATGTGATTGCTCATGTCGCTGAAGGTGAGGCTGAAGATGTCAACCAGGCAGTGTCTGCTGCTCGCAAAGCATTCGACCAAGGACCATGGCCAAAGATGACTGCTTATGTAAGAATATCACACATTGATCATTTGCTTTGTACTTTCTTTCCTTTGTTTCCTTCTTTATTCTTATTTTAACTTCAAACAATATTGAAATATGAGTTACGTAATGTAATCTTTGTTGTTAAACTTTTTCAGGAAAGATCACGAATAATGTTGTGGTTTGCTGATTTGCTTGAGAAGCACAGTGATCATATTGCGGCTCTTGAAACTTGGGATAATGGGAAGCCTTATGAACAGGCTGCAAATGAAGAAATGCCATTGGTGTGGTAAATATAAGCTAATTTGGCATGGTAGAAATTAGCATATATGCTAATTTAGGTTGTGGTACATATGTCATTTTTTATTAATTAATTTGGTTAGTCTTGTATTATGTATGAAGTGAAATTATTGATGTTGGATTAGACTTGGTTCGTATGAAATTTGTATTATATATAGAATTGGACGTTCAATATTAATGTTTTGGATGGTTGGAGCTAAAATGTGTGCACATTGTTGAATGTTTGATAACATATTTAGTGTTGATGGATTATATTGTTTATACAGGGTACAGGTTGTATTCATAATGGATACATGTTGTTTAGAATTTTTTTTAAAAAAAAAAAAAACACGTTAAAGCATTTGGCTACCAAATATTTTGGTAGCCAAATACGTAATCAAATGTTTTGGTGACTAATAATTTAGTAGCAAAACATAACCCAAAAAGTTTTGGCGACCAAATAATTAGTAGCTAAAACAATTGGGAATGAGAGAAAGAAACTATTGGCTACTAAATTTTTAGTCACGGAATGCACCTTTTGCCGACTAAATAATGTTTCGTAGCCAAATGTGTACTTTTGGCGACTAATTATTTAGTAGCTAAAGGTGACACCTTCCCCGACCACAACAACTTAGTAGCCAAAAAGCCTCATTCGGCGACTAAAGTTTTAGTGGCGGAAACATAACATTTGCCGACTAAACATAATTTAGTAGCGAAATGTAGTCACTTTCGGCGACCAAACAAAGTTTAGTTGCCAATACTATCGCCGACAGGGTATAGGCAACGAGTTTGGCGACAAAATATTTTAGTCGCTAAATCGTTTTAGCGACTAAATATTGGACTTTTGGCGACTAATTTTTTAGTAGCCAAAAGTGACATTTCTTGTAGTGACACGAGAAACTGTTTTTGGGTATATTATTAGCTTGAATAGTTTGCATTATTTTATTATTGTTGATTATGAAGAAAAAAAAAAGGTTATCATTAATGGTTGCTACTTGGGATAATTTTTTCTAACTTCACCATTGATCACGCTCGGTAAACATTCATCCACTACACGAACTCTCTTTATCTCTCAGGTCTCTTGAATTTTCTTGGCATCAAAAGCAATAAAATTTTGGAGGAAGAATATTATATTGCTCATCATCAAAGCTAGTCAAGTCTAACCTTGATAAAATCTGTTCTATCCAATCTCCCTCCCTGTGTACTACCTCTCTCTATTCAAGATGTCCGAAGGAGTTGCTAGAGAAATAGAGAAGATTGAAACTGTGTTTCTGTGGGGTGGCAATGATCTAAAGAGAAAAGTTCATCTAGTGAAATGGGTGGAGGTAACAAAGAGTGTCAATCAAGGGTATCTGGGTATAAGAAGGATTAGAGATGTGAATACTTGTTTACTACTCAAATAGTGGTGGAAATTTGGGAATCAAGTCAATGCACTCTGAAGAAGGGCTATTTGTAGCAAGTATAAAATCAAGGAAAATTGTTGGCATCCTCCACTAAGATCCCATTATAAACATTCTAGATTGTGGACTGACATTATCTCCATTGGGGCCTATAGTAGGAATATCTTCAACTTCTATTTGAATAATTGTCTACTTAAAGTGGGGAATGGGTCTAGAATCTCATTTTGTCATGACAAGTGGTGTGAAGGACTTTGCTTTAAATCAGAATTCCCTCTTCTCTACAACCTTTCTATTGTCAAGAAAGGATCCCTTCATCATTTTTACCACAGGAAATCCAGCTCAGATAATTGGAATTTTCAGTATAGAAGAGAGCTTTATGCTTGGGAATTACTTGAAGAAAACAGACTTGTTAATGCCTTATCCTCTTCTCCTCTTCTGTGTCCTGACAGTGTGGCTTGTCAAGTTTGCACTAATGGTTCTTTCTCTGTCTCTGCTCTTTATTCTTTCAGTAGCTCTCTGCTTGGCCCTCAACTCAGAATTAGTAAGTCTAGTACAATGCTTTTCCCCCCAAAGTTCTCTTTTTTGGTTGGCTAGCTTGGAAAAACAGAATAAAGTCTGCAGAGTTTTTGCACAGAATAGACATTTTAAGCAGCAGTGCATCCTCCATCTGCCCATTCTGTACCACTGAAGTTGAAACTGCTATTCATGTCTTGTTGCACTGCCCTTTCTCCTGGTTTATCTAGTCATCAGTGATACATGATTGGGGTTTTAATTGGTGCCTTCAAGGATTAGTTGAAGGTCTTTTCAATTGGTAGATGGGTGGAAAATTTAAGAGACTTGAAAAGAAAATTTGGAAAGCGATACCCTTAGTTGTTCTGTGGTCTCTCTGGAAACATAGGAATAAGTGTGTCTTCTTTATGTCACAACCCAATTCCTCAGGTCTATATAAACTCATCAAAACCAGAACTGTTCTCTGGCTTAGAGCATCTACAAAGGACTTTCCTTTCTCAGTTGATGATTATATGTTCAAGTGGAATCAAATCAGATGTTGAATCAATTGATGTAAACCAGGTGTTAGGTTGATAGGTTCTGGTCATGCTTTGCTTTGGTAATCTGTTAGACTGCTGCTCTGTTTTGGAAAAGCTGAACAACTCTAATCTGTTAGTCTTGGTACTCTATTTCTGCTTCTGGTAATCTATTTCTGTTTTTGTTTCTGCTTCTCTTGGTTGATCTGCCGCTGATTGCTGATTGCTGCTGCTAGTCTTGGTTGATTTGTTTCTGCTGCTCTTGCTGATTGCTAATGGTTGGATTGCTAGTGGTTGGTTTGCTTAGTTGTGGCTGTAATTTAGTAGTTTACGCTTATTTTGCTACTGGTTTGTTCTGGCTGTATTTTGCTTGTTGGTTTCTCACCAACTGGAGCTTGGAGCTTGAGCTAGCTCCGAGCTCCTTTTTATTGATATACTTTATTATACTTTGTATGTTTTCATCAATAAAGATTTATTTTGCCGATTAAAAAAAATAAAAATAAAAATAAAATCAAAGCTAGTCAAGTAGAATTTGAAAAAATGCTAAAGGAATGAAATTTAATTCCACCAAATGCATTGTACATCATTTATTGATAGAAATTTCTGGATAAAATTAGAGGAATTACATCACACTCGTATTTCTTTTGTGTATTATTTGTGCACAAATCAAGCACAATAACAAATCCGTTAATATCTCAAATAATATGTCTTCAATCTGGAACATTCACCATCTCAGCTTCACTGGGAAATACTGCAACAAAAACCTCCAATTAAGAATACGGAACATCAAGATGAAAAACGTTTCAAAAAAATAGACATTCATAGAAACCAGTGACATAACACTCGTAAGGTGCTCCTTGAGAGTGTTGCAAGACCAATTTTGAAAAGGAGATGTGCATAGAAATTGGTTACAAAATAGTCATAATTCTATGACTGATTTTGTGCACGTAAGTTCTCAATTAGAGCAATACCCACCTTCTCAATGAGAGAAAGATAATATGGCTTGACCTTCTCGACATCAATGCGAACTTTGCTCTTACTGTAGAGGTCATATTTGCTACATAAATTTAAAAAGTTTGTAAAAAATATTAAACTTTGTTAGTCATATTTGCATAAAATATGAAATGAAAATAAAATGCTAGAAAGAAAGAGGGATTACTTGAAAATTTTTAGCCACTTTAAATTCTCAACATCATCCTCATTCATTAAATGCGTGTATGCTCCTGACTTATGTAATGCTGCAAGATGAATTATTCAGATCTTCATGTTAAACATATTAATTAAAAAACTAATTTTTGGAATTAAAAAAAATTAGCGTAAATGCTTACGATAAAAAGAGTGGTATCGGATGATGAACAATGCAGCTGGAGGCAGAGTTGATCCATTTTCCTTAGCCACCTAAAAGTTTGAAAATGAAGTTAGATTAACAAGAAGTTTTTATAGTATTAAATATCTAAATTAAACTAATTACTTGAAACACATACCAAATACATGTAATCATCATGCCCCCATGATATCATTACATTGTCTAGGCCACAACCTTCCACATAAATTCCATTCTCAGTGTTGTAAACAGGATTTTTGGAATCTGGATTGTGCTCAAAATACTGCATAAAAAGTGTTTATTCATTTTTCTTAGAATAAAATTGTTAATTAAAATCATGTATAATTTATTCTACAAGATAAGGTTTAAAATTGAAGAAGCACACCTTGTGATGAACAATCGATTTGTCGAAAGCACACCCCAGAGGGAAGGTGTCACCTGTAATGTCAAAAACAGTGAAAGGTTATCTTGATTTTTCCAAAATAGTTTGGAAATAAGTATAATGTGACCCTTTTTTTTTTCTTTTTTTTTTTTTTTTGGGTATAACATAAAAATGAAAATGATACCAAAGGCATGATCACATATTATTTAAGTTGTCATAACTCATAACAAAACACTCACCAACAACAGCCCATTGAGGAAGGCCCCCAAAACTAGGATGAAGAAGAACTTTTCCAAGATCTGAAACCATATAACATCAAATTAGGTTTTAATCCACTAGAAGGGTCTTGGCCATTTCATGAGTGGATTAGTCAAGTTTTCATCCCCTTCACCTATATTTGTTTTTATTTTTTGTTATTGAAAACAGGAAAAAAAAAAAAAAAAAAAAGAGAAAGGAAATTGATGCAAGAAATTTGTATTTTGGAATTTTTTTTTTGAAAATATCAATCTCAAGAAACCTTTCTAAATTATTTTTTGAATTTTGAAAAATATTTTCACACATAAATGAAAATGGTGAGTGTGTTTGAATTTTCCATTGATTTGTTTACAAAATACTATAAAATAGTGTCAGTGTTTGCTTGGATAACAAATTACTAAAACAATGTTGAAACCTACAAAATCATATGTTTGGTTAATGTGATTCACTCTATAGAATTCTTCAACTGTCTGTTGTCTTTCACTCTCAGCATTATAGTCCCTGTCAAGCTTTCTCAGGTTAGAAACAATTCATCCCATGAATACCAATTTATGTGGGCACCAAAATGGAACTTCAACCGAATCAAGACCAAGGGTAGGCCTTTTAAATTTGATACTCCCGTTCCAGGTGTGATGTTCGGATTCAAGTGTTACAACTAGGGCTATAAAAGGAACCGAGTTACTTAAAGCTTTACTCATGTTCAACTCGTGAAAAGTGCATTCGAGATCGGCTCAATATATAAACGAATCAAGTTTAAACACATTTTGAATTTTGTTAATTTTTGGGAGACTTACTTGGTCTTAATGGGTAAATTTATTGTCTAATAGGTCCTATGATAATTAATAGCGTTTTTCATCAAATACTATTAAAAAACGACACTAATTGTTAATTTCAACAACAATTTGAAAATTATCACAAAATGTCATTAATTATAAGTTTTAGCAACTGTTTAAAAAAATCGTCACAAAAAAAAATCACTAATTTTTAACTTTTAGCAACAGTTTGAAAAATTCGTCACAAATTTTATTTTACTAATTGTAAGTTTTAGCGACAATTTATAAAAATCGTGACAAAAAAGTCACTAATTGTTAATTTTTAGTAATATGCAAAAAATCGTCACAAAAATTATTTTTAACGACAATTTTACTAGAATTTATTTTAATTGGACTTGATAAGAATTAAGTCAAACTATTATGACCTATTGATAGTTTACCCTTAATTGTTTGATGTTGATTTGAACTCGGCTCAATTGATTTATAGCCCTAATTGCTACATGATGCAACTTCCATTTTCGCTCACACCAATTAAAAGAAAAACTGACCTGAATGAGTGGCCAAATGAATTGATCTCTGGGGCGTCAAACCCTGCATCTTGCATAGATTTTGGAACTGGAAATCCTCCATCCAAAACCAAGTCATTGTTATCAAAAGGAACCCTCTTATCCTCCCCCTGTAAACCTGTCAACAAAATTAAAAATATTTTATGAAATTGATTTTTTATACTGAACATGACAACCATCAAAGTATGTACCCAAAATGTTAACAAAAAAAACATGTTTTATAAAAACAGAAACAATAAGAACATTATGTTACCCAGATCAGGCTGCTCAATGAGGATAGTCATGTTGCCAACAATGTTGAAAAGGAATGACAGCACAAAACAAAGAAAACAGAAGCAAAAGAGCTGTTTTGAATGTGTATGGAATGAAGAACTGTTGCGAGAAATGAGGGTACTTATAGTGCTATAAAAAAGCCCTTCCTAGATATTAGGAAAGTTTGGAGTCCTGAACTGAAAAATAAATATTTGTTTGGTTGGATATACATTTCTGTCCCATTAAAAATGGTCAAAAACGGACCATTTAATAAACGTGATTATAGATTAGTTCTACTCTCACTTCGGCGCGTAGAAGAAAAGTCATTAGGAAGATTTTTATTTTTTATTTTCATGGATATATATATTTAATAATTAACAATTTAAAAACTTAACTAGTACATCTTGATTAGTACATTTCAACCGCTCTGTTTGGAAGAACTTATGAGACTACTTATAACTTTTTCTTAGATTTAAAAATTTATTTTTAGTGCAATTTTTACTTAATTTTTTGTGATGATTGTTTTTAAAAGTTTGGGAAATAAAGGGCGTGTTTGGTTTGATTTTGAGAGAGTGATTTTCAAAAAAAAAAAATTGGGGAGAGAGTTTAGAAATTTTTTTGGTTTGTTTGGTTATATATTTTGAAAGTAATTTTGGAGTTTGGGAGTTTGAGATGATTTGATATTTTGTTATAATTGAGTAGATGCGTGTGAAAGAAAAAGTGATTAATTGATGTGTAAGATAGAGAAAGTGATTTTGAAATTTTTTTTGAGAAAAATTTCAAACCAAACAATTTTTTGAAATTTTTTTTCCAAAGCTCATCTCTCAAAGCCAAACCAAACACACGCTTTTGCTTTCTTATTATCAATTTTACAAACAATCTTATGTAGTGCCTGTTTGGCAAATATTTTTTTCAACTTAAATCAGGTTTTGGCTTAAATTAAGCTATGTTGGTGTGTTTGGTACAACTTATAAGGCATGGATTATAGCTTAATTTAAGCCATTTTTAGCTTAAATCTCAAAGTTTCTCCAAGGGTGCTTATCAAATTAGCTTATGCGCGCAACTGATCATGGAGGGGCAAAATGACTTAAATGTCCCTCCAAAACTTAAGAACTGCTCCACACATCGAAGATCGTCGGCGATCGTCCTTGTTTTCTATTGATCTTCACCAAAAAGTAAGATTTGAAACCCTAAACCCTATGTTTTGTTATATATGGATATACATATTAGATATACACATCGATTTAGGGAATATGCCCTTCCAGCCAACCCCCCCTCTCAATTTAGGGAATATGTCTCCATCCTTCGACCGGCGGCGAGCGACGAGCGACAAGCAACAGCGGTGGCGACTGAGGTATATTCTTCCCTTTTCTTCTTCTATTCTACTACTCCAATATTCTGAGTTTTGTTGAAATCAGCCCTTGGTTTGATTCCAAATATCATACTATTATAAAATAAAATAAAATAAAATTGAGATAATGTAAAAATGTACCAAATTAGGTACTAATTAATCAACTTCTATTAATGAAATAACTTTTTCAAAATTTAAAGTGAAGAAAATGACAAAATTACAATTTTTATGTTCATAAGGGCAAAAATGGCAATTACACAGCAAAAAGTTATTTTACAGTTTATTTATCAAACACTACTCTGCTGCTTAAATTTATAATCCCACAGTTACACGAAACATGTTACCAGCTTATGCTCACAGCTGTAAGTTATAATCTGTTAAGTTATAATCCATAATCATTTTCCCACAGGACTTATAGGTGTTTGAGAAGTTGTTATTTTAGTAGGCTATTTTAGGAGGCTAGAAGTTTTATATTTGGGAAGATAGTTAGATTTTTTTGTAGTTGCATGTGATGTTTGTGAGAGAAAAAGTGAAATGATTATGGATTTGATATGACATTTTGTCTTATTGACTATTTTAACTTATTTTATTTTTTAGTATTATTTTAGCCAAAAAAAAGCCAATAAAGCTATTTCAGCAGGTAGATAACCATTACTTATTTCATGATTGTGTTTTAGTTGTTTTTAATTGCCATTTAAAAAAAAAAAAAAAAACATCTACACACTTGATTTCTTGTATCAATTTAGTCATTGTAATTCTAATCAGCAACAAAACTAATAAGGGACTAGGGGGTCATGTGGCGGAAAATATTTAATATAGGAAAAAAGAAATGAGAAACGAATTGGGAAACAAAAATGAGAGGAATTTTTTTTTTCAGTGCCTTGTCTGGTCGACCGGTTGGTTGTCTTGCCGAACATCCCTGCCTTTTGATGCAAACAACAGTGCACCAGTTGGAACAACTCATATCTGAAATTGTAAGACGCCCCCTCTAACTTATTTTCCTAGCTTCGCTACTGGTTCTAATTACATCCTTTTTAATTTTTAATTTTTCATATTGTGATAATTTAGTTTGATTGATAAGCACTTTTTTAGAATTTGGGTTGAAATCTAGGGAAATAAAACAATTCATTCATTCTTCTCAAAATGATTGAGGAATTGATGTCTAATTTAAAAATGGAATTTTTTTTATAAGTAGACTATTTTATCTTTAATTTATATCTAATTTTTTAACGAATATTATCAATCAAATTAAAATGATAAAATGTTGAAAATTAGAAGCAAAATAGATCCAATTAGAACTATAACCAAGCCAACAAAATAGACAAATTATAGCAATAAAAAAAGCAGAAATAGCATACTAGTGGGTGTAAGAAAAAATAATTATAAATAAATAGTAATATTAATAATTAAAATTATAAAAATTTTCATTAATGTATAATAATTTTTTAAAATTATTCCTGAGTGGTAATTTCCCCTCCCCAAAAAAAATAAAATAAAATTGTTAGCAAGCATTTTGTTTTTATTTTTATTTTTCAGGTTTTTACAAAAATACACGCGCCCACTACTTTAAGATGAGTCAGCTTTACGTGTAAATCATTAATATTCAATTAACATCAGTTTAAGGGACCTACTGACTTGGCATCGAATCACAGCCTACGAATGATTTGACTTTTTATTTTATTTTATTTATTTTATTTTATTTGGAAGTTGAAATCAACGACTGAGCTGTGACTATGATTAATTTAAAATTTTTGATTTCATTTTTTTTAAAATTTAAATTAATTTAGTTTGAAATTATAAATTTTAGGATAAATATAGCGTTCGTTTGGAATGTAGATTGTCTTTTTAACTTTTTGACTTTTTTAGGTTGGGGCTAAAAAGATTTATTTGTGATAGATTTTTTGACATTTTTTGACTTTTATGAGAGACATTAAAATGATTATGGGTTGAATGTGATATTTTGTTCTATTTGACTAAAATAACTTATTTTTTCTTTTATGGGTATTTTAGCCAAAATGTTCTTCCCAAACAAGCTCATAAAGGGTGATTCTATTTACATACCATCAATCCTCTTAATATACATCATTACTTAGACCATCTCTAACGGTTATCACCAAATTTGAATTTGGTCTTTTTTGACTCCAACGATTTCATCAAAATAGTATCAAATTGAGAATGGAGCAAAATTTTCACCAAATTGAAGAGCTGGGTCTGATTTCACTATTTCACTATGCGTTTACGTTGGAGGTGGGTCTCACCGAACAATCGTCTGACCGGTTGTCCCACCGGTCGTTCGGTTTAGACAGAAAATGCAGAGCTGCAGCCATGCTTGGTCTGCGAATTGGGTTGACACTTTAAGCAAAGATTCCTCCATTTTGGCCCTTCTCTCTCTCTCTCTCTCTCTCTCTCACACACACACACACACACACACTCAGATCCTCACAGGAACCCCACCTCTCTAGACTCTACCTTCCACTCTACAAAACCATGTCTCAACAGTTCACTTCCCTGTTTAGCGTAGTCACTCTCACATACATTGTTCATATTAGCACAAACTTAACCAAAAATTAGTCAAGAAAGAGAGCCAAACCAACAACCAAACCACAATTCTTCTTCTTTTTCTTCAATACATTTTATATATGGGTTGCCAAAATCAAATCTTTAGCAGTTTCCAAAAAAAACCCATCTCAGAGCCTTCATTTTCTGGTAAAAATAGAGGCCAATAAAAAGAAAGAGAAATGAAAAATGGTGAGGTGCTAGTTTAAATTTTCAAAATTTGTGTTACTTCTTTCAATATTTTATAAACCCAATATGCTAAATGAGGCATTGTTAGTAAATAACCCATCGTAGCAGATAAATAATCTTGATCTAGCTCATTCACCATTTTTCTATCTATTGAATTTTTTCTCACTTTCCTAACCCAACTAGAAATTCATCCATCTTCACTTTCTTTTCTTTTCTTTTCTTACCTTTTCATTTTTCTTTTTATTACACAAATCTAAGATTCAAACACAATATTCAGTGTAGATTAACCAGGAAAGGAAAATATTTAATATAGGAAAAAAGAAATGAGAAACGAATTGGGAAACAAAAATGAGAGGAATTTTTTTTTTCAGTGCCTTGTCTGGTCGACCGGTTGGTTGTCTTGCCGAACATCCCTGCCTTTTGATGCAAACAACAGTGCACCAGTTGGAACAACTCATATCAAATTGAGGAAATTGTCATTTTTTTACTCAGATTTGATGAAAAAAATACCGAACCGTTGGAGATGCTTTTAGTTTATATAGCGTTACTGGTTTAGACCCGACCCATTTTGTATTTTGGACTCGGATTTTGTAGCCTCGTATGGTTGTTTATGTCTTTTCCCTCTTATTCTTCCTTAAATTTGGTTATTGGATTGTATTGGTCTTCTTTGGATCAGGTTGGTTGCTTGATTTTCGAACCTTTGTTGTCCAGATTTTTACTCCTTCGCTTGAGTGTCACTTCTTGCAATGGAGCGGGCTTTGCAAACCCTCAATATTTTTGCAGGCCTGCAATATACTAGAAGAGTGTATTCCATGCCCGAGCGGGTGGACGCTCGAGCGGCCAATCTTAAGCTCGAGCAATGTCCTTCGTTTGCAAAACTTCTGAAAGTGTGTATTCTGCGCTCGAGCGTCACTTCTTGCGCTTGAGCAAAACTATGTGTCTAGCGCTTGAGTGTTATTTCTTGCGCTCGAGCGGACTGCGTGTATATTAGTTCGTGAAGATGACTTTTTAGTTCACTTTTTCATTCCTCTCTCTCTTTTTAAATCTTTCCAAAAACCTAGATC